TGCAGCCTGTGCCCGGAGGGAGGAGGTGGCCTCGGTCCCGCGGAGGCCCCTTCTCAATCCTCAGGGAAAGTGACGCTTGTGTCACCAAAAGTGACAGGCGAGGCTGGTTCAACGAGAACAGCTTTATTAATATAATGATGTTAATAGGTAAAAAATTAAAAAACGTTGTGCATTGCATTGTACTTATAGTCAGTAGTAAATTATATTTGCATCATTTAACAGCGACTGACTTTTTTTAGAGGCACTCCTGATACTCTTAAAGAATAATGCACTTGGCGATTTTTACTTTTTTGTTTTGTTGACTCTGCAGCTCAAAGCTGCCATACCCCCACCCATCCTACCACCACCTCTTCCATTCATTATGCAAATGTCCTAATTATCTTCTGTCCTTATTATTAGCAACTGCAATTGTCCCTTACAGAGAGTTCCTACCTTCTATATAACATGTAAACATTGAAAAATAATTAACAGTTCATGAAAAAATAACTGCACTCAGTGTTCTAACTGTTGTGTTATGCAAACACGTTACCATTTAATAATAGATTCAGGATATTTTTGAAGACATTTAGGACTTTATATTCATAGAGCTGGTGTAGTCCAAACGAAGATCAAAAAAACAGCTAAATTTTGTCCATCTGCATATAAACATGCAATCAAATGAAGTCTCCGCTACATAAACCAGCAATGATTAGAGATTGGTTTCATAGGAAAAGTTTGAATTTTCCCGTTCACTGAAACACAGTTCATTCCTTTATGCGGTTTACAGTCAAGGATTAAAATTGAAGGAGTGTAAAATTAAGACAATAGCTTCCGTCCTCCAGTTCGTAAATGATTTGGAACTTGAGTTACACACTTGAAGAATTGCCAGATGCCTGACTACATAGTTTATTTTCTTATAAAGAAGAATTAGCACTTCACTGAACTCCTCTATTTAAGGAGGTTTTATATCACAAAAGAGTTGAATCTGAGAAAAAGATAGATATATGAAATATATGAATACATGAAAATGTATCTGAAAAATGTTTCTTTAAATTTAGGCTCCATATCAAAGATATCCTGAAAGAGGAGCATGAAAAATGCACTTGAGAAAATGAGGGAACTGGAAGAAAAAAAAATTAAAAAGTCCTTGTTAGTTTTGAAAGAATTTTGAATCTGGCATTGACCTTACCACAGCAGAAGAAACCACAACCAACAAGTACTCTATGGGCCTTTCATAGATGTTCCTCTTGCTAATAAAGAATAGCTTCCAATGTTTTTTGCAATAACGCAGTACTAATGATAATCTAAAATAAGACATTTCTGATTTAATAGCATAGTCTCATTTCTCTCCCCTAAGCATATACTAATATAACATCCCAATGTCCTAATGATTCCAAAGTAACTGAAGTTAGCATTTCTAGCTACCTGAGAAACAAAGTATTTGTTACGGATTAATTTATACAAAGATTCATAGGGAATGCTTAAATGCATAATGCTTACGCAAAGACCCCGTGGCTTATTACAAAACAGAGTTAAAAATCGGGTAAATGAACTTTAGCATTTGGTGTACTAACAGAGCTTTTAACAAAAAGCTGAGTGAAAAGTAAAATAATGTTTTAGATTATTAAATACTGGGAATTGCAGGATGATACTGCTACGTAACGTGAGTGATAGCTTTTACACATGCAGTGTTCATATCTGAATTATGTCCCTTAAAAAAAAAAATCTGTTTTCAGTAAGTATAGACAGATTTTTTTTTCATTACCCCTACAGAAATAAAGAAGAGGCCTCAACGGAAATTGAAAATAATTCCTTCCAGTGCCCAACAAAAGATATAGACTGGCGAATTGCCGATTACTTTTCTGACAGTAAAATGAAGATACCCAGCATCTCCTATGCTGAGGTCCAAAGTGACCTACAAGCACCCTTAACCCACACAACAAATACTTCTAAAGTTCAGATCCACAAAGGATAACCTACTTCACCCTCCAAACCAAATAGATACTGCAAACAGCTGAGCCGTTGACCTCTGTAGTGCTCTACAGTAGGAATTAAAGGTGATCATAATCTGAGTGACTTACAGCTTCTTTCTTTGAAGAAAGAAAACCAGAATTTTCAAGGTTGTTTCGACTCTCTTACCAGTTCCTCCTCCTCATTCATACTGTCCTTTGAAGAACAGGTGCATGGTGTTTTCCCTATCTTCCTCTATAAAATTGGGCGATTACTGTGTTAATTAGCACAAAAAGGGAAGCTGCACAAGCAGCACAAAGATTAACACAAATGTCTTACTATTGCTGACTAATTTTCAATTTGACACAAACTAACAAAACAGCCATTTTCCCTGAGAATCAATCCAAAAAGCAGCCTCTTTTCACTCCTTGTAAATTAGCCCTGTAGTCATACTTCCACAACAAACTAGTCTACCCCATTCACGTTCTGTTCTTTTTTGTATCCCACCATCTTGACAAGCCAAGATACAAGAGCTAAGCGTAAGGTTCTGGACTGCATTATTACGGATTAGCTGTCTCCAAAGACTTTAACAGGAACAGTATCGATCTCCGATATCCAGTGCACTATTCAGCTTTTTGGCATAGAAGTTAATCAATTACAAACAGTATTGCAAACATGTAGAATTCATTAATCTCTTCAGACATACATACTGATAGACTCCAGTCAGTATAAAAGTGCAGTCAATATACTACTCAGTGCCCTGCGAAGACATACTGGTTTCATTTACAGTAATTTCAAGTTTACATGGAAGATTTCATATTAAACTTATTTCCACTTCCAGTGTTCAAGAATTGATATAATACTGTAGTAAGGTTATTCCTGGGCAACCACAGAAATGCTCTGAAGATAATCTGCAGATGCCATTATAAAGTCAGTCCATTCCTTGGCCAGCTCTTCAATGGAGACTTCCTCCCCCCCATATTCCTGTGGGAGAATGCTGATCGGGAAGTGTTCGGTCAGACTCTGCATGTAGTTATTTCCATGCATATGCACCTAAAACAAAATATGAAAAGCATTTACTTGCATATGAATGCTAGACTACAGAATGAAAACAGGCAGCAGCAAAGAAACTCAGTGCAAGAGCTGAAACCACCAGCTTGGTTCAACTAAACAAGTGTACTTGTTCATAATGAGCTCCTTAAATGAAGAAGAAAGTACTACCATGTGAGTGAGTTTCCCATGGCTGCTCAAACTCTGTCCTGCTCAATATCTGCAGCTTGATGGAGCATGGACTACAACCAGAGAACTGCATTTTATGCAGCTGCAAGCACAAGAGCCGAAACTAACTACACACTTGTTCCAGACTGGTTTAACGACACTGATGAGGGCACACACTACATCCATACAGCTAAAGTGAGCTAAACCATGGGAAGACTGGGGTTTGGTCTTGTCATGATAGGTATCATGTACTTGCTTTTCAGTTATTGCCAATGAAAGAACAGTGGTTGGTTCCTGGCCATTACTAGCTGGTGCTGCCATATGTATTTAAAAACAACATTATGTAGTATGTTTGTAGGTTCAGAGGGGTGCCAAGAAGGATATTCAGAAGAATCTATATCTCAGTCCTTATGTTTCAGTTCCAACTGAAATTAGATCCTGGACTACTCCTCCACTTTAACCCTTGTAATACTGTAGTTCTGGTTCTTCTTCTCTTGCTTTATTGTAGCTATTTTGAAGCCTTGTTCATTACTTCTAGTCAGAAACTTTTATAGGCCTCTTACTAACACTTGACAAGAATTTTCTGCAACTATTATTACACAAAGACTACAAGATATGCACTCAAAAGGTAGTTGCCTGCCTTTTATCTAATACTTCCTCATCAGGAAGTAAGACAATGAGTGAATAGTAATGATTCTTATGAAGGTATGGGGAACCGGCCCTTAGAGGTTTTTTTCAGATCATACCTGAAACTCTAAGCCAGGAGACAAGCCAATCTGCTTCTGTTCCATTCCATGAACTGGGATATCTGGTTTATTTTCTTTTAGGCCTTTACTGTCCATCTGCCCTCTCTTCTGCTTTTTGAGTTCTAGCCTGAGATATTCTGAGCTGGATCAGGTGATGGGGGCTTGTTTCACAGGTATTAATGTGAGAGAAGAAGGGCCACGGCATCAGGCTGCTGGAACATACTAACTTTTTTAATCATCTTTTCAGAGTGAGGGACTGACTGCACAAGGCTGGCAGAAACAATCCTACCTCTCTCCCATAACAAAACACACATGCTGGGAAAAGCGGACTGGCATATAACAGCTAACAGTGACCAGAAAAATCTGGATCTACTGTCCTGGAGTGCAGTGGCTACTGCAAATGCCCAAGATCCGTGTGCTGAGACAAGGAGGCTTCACAGTGGGAATAACAATGGTCAGTGCTGCTTATTTTGTACCTTAGTCCTGCTGTTAACACTTCACAGTATCTCCTTTTCTGCCAGCAGAAACCTCCAATATTCTTCCTATGCTACAAAAACCAGAATTCTTCCAGAATTCTTGGCGTGCTTTTGCATCCGAATACAAACAGCGTTTTCAGATTTAAAACTGCAAAACAATTTAAAACAACTAAGAAGCTATTTGGAAAGAAATTTTGAACTTAAGCCTGACCTATTTTTGATGCATAAATGCCTCTGCAGGTTTTTCAGAACTAAAAAGTTGTCTTCTACTAATTCTGCACAACTTGGAGCATAACGTCTGTTCAGTGACAACTTCTCACTGTCATTTATAGGCAGAGTGTTGGGAGATCCGGGACCTATTCCTTCCTAGTCCTGCAGAAGAATTGCTGTGTGACCTCAAGCAAATCATTTAACCTCTCTGTGTCACGGTGGTTTTTATCTTTGAGTGGTGATAACAGCAACTACTTGCAACTCTCACATTATTGATAACTGCAAATGCTTTACAATTAGATTCTGGAGGCCTGTATGGCACTAACACACAAAAATGATTTATGCTTTTCAGTGCTCAAGAGTACCAGATCCTAAGGGAAGTGCTACAGATTGTCATATAGGGGTTTTGTGACAGAAAGAAATATTTGTGTGCACTCACCCGTTCTTTTATTTTTTCAGTGAGAAAAGGGTTAATTAGAGTGAAGACTGGGTGGAAGAATAAAGGCTCATTAATCAAGTGGATACCTCGAACTTTTAGTGGAAAGGAATCCTGTCAACATATATGAAAAACAACATAAGAAAAAAGAAAATATTATTGAAAAGATTCTATTGTTAAGGACAAATCTGTGAAAACTATCTAGTCCATAGGTTATAGTATTCCTCCTGACCTTGCTAATACCTGCACTTTGGAGTGTTCTTAGTTTACACTGCCCCAACAATGCTTAGAAAATCACATCATCTCCCATTAGGAAAAAAAAAAAAACAACAAAAAACACCAGTATGAGGAGAGGCTATTAAAAAACCCCAAAACGAACAACAAACAAACAAGAAAACCCTCACCAAATGACACATAAGTAATGTACACAAAGCTTGTGCTCAGCCTTTCCTCAGAGGTACAATTCTTCACAGCAGAGAATCTGCTGCTAACTTACCAGAAAGCTATCTAGCCGTGTGCTTTCATTGGCAATTCACAACCTGAAGGATAATATGTAAATGTATATAAATATAAACCATTGCAGCTACTAACTTTAAGTTAAATAAATTATAAATATAATTAAGAGACCTTATAAATATAATTTAGAGCCTTGAAATTATTGGGAATTTGCCCAAGCCAGAAGTTCAGCTTTACAACAAGACTACTGTCATAATGAAAACAAAAATTATATGTGCTATACAGCCTTTATAATATGAAATACTTCTACTTGCATTCAAGATTCATTTAGAAGTCCCAGACCTTTGCAAGTTAAAAGAAAATATGGCAGTGCTCAAAGACAGCATTATGCGATGGGGAAAGTATAGCTTCCATTCATATCCCAGCTGATACTACCTCTTCAACCAGAGGTTTTCTGCTTATAAAAATGGTATTTCTCACAATCAGTTCTCTCCGCTAGTACAGTAGCTCTTCTCACATTATTTCATGCACTCTTCTATGGATAAAAAAACCCCAAACCCCACACATTTCTTAAGTTCAACTCCTTTTAGATTTTAATGTATGATAAAGACCTTAAAACCATCAGATTATAGGTTTACTGCATGTTATTATGTGTTATCATACACTTAAAGTCTACTATCATGTTTTTCACAAAACAATTTGGTTTTGCCTGGGGTAACAGATTTTTCAAGATGATGTCACTTACTAATGTTACTATGCTTTCCATTCCTTAGTATATATTTCCTTTCTATTAACTTCTTCATACTATTTCTTCATACAAGATAGTAATTTGCAAGACACATTTCTTAAGAAAAATATAGGGTTGAAACTAAGGTTCCTTAGTTTTTACTTATAAGCATATTGAACAACACTAAGACAATCTCTGGGTGAAATATATGAACTCAGTTAAAGTGATGAAAGGAATCTGAAAAAAAAGGAGTTAAACTTATTTCTCTTTTTAGAAAAGAACACTGGAAACACACAAATTTTTTCTACCTTTTTTTCAATAGCTATAACAAACATTTAGAAGCTTAAAAAACATGCAACAAATCTGAAATAGGTCAAGATGGAAACATCACATTCAAAGAATTTCCTGGTTCAAGATAATGGATTGAAACCTTTAGATGTAATTGCAAATCCTGTTCTACCTCCTTTCTGCTCTATTTCAAGGTTAAAAAATTACTAGCAACTTGTTTACTATCTCAGAAATCAACTGAAACACTCTCACACGTCCTGTTCTCATGAGATTTGGCCCAGGATCATAAGAAAATCAAGAGTTCTTATTCTAGATGTGAAAGGTTGGGAATACCCGATGGTTTCACTGAAGTTTTACAGTAGATACCAAAAAAGAAGAAAAGCTGAAGTTCTGATGACTAAGCTTTGACTGAACATCAGATATGACCCTTACCAAATCAGAGCAAGAGATTATCTCCCTGGCTCATTTCCACATCACAGGCTAACAGTTTTATTATTACTGATTTTCAACCTAACTTCTGAAGGAAAATGGGATTATAGGACTACACTGTAGTATGGCTGTCAATTCTCTGTCCCCATCTTTTTTTCTTTTGTTCCTTTTTTTTTTTCCTCTTAAATCCATTGGCAAAATTCAACTGAATTTGACAGAAAGGAACAAGTCTTAAAGACAGTAAAGTCCCTAGAATATTTGTGAAAAATAGGAGGTGCTGTAGCAGTGAGTTGCACAAAATAATGCTCATGTTGGGGGGCAAAAATCAAGCAGAACATAAACATTGTACATTCTGTTGGTAGCAGCTGGATAGTTATGTAGCATCATCCATACTGGTAACAAGTTAGTACTGTCTTGCTTTTAACTACTCTTGGCACATGCTACTTCTCGTCCTCTCTGAGTCTCAGGGGAAAAAAGCTTTGAATGTCAGTTAATGCACAAAAGAATGGAAGAGAGGAGATGAAATGGGGTAACGAACACAGATCCTTACAAAACTGGGCTTCATCTGCTCTTATACTCATGAAATTCTTGTGTTGTAACAGGTCGGTGGAGTTCTTATAAAACATCAGAGGTTAAAGGACATTTACTGCTTTACAAGAACATATGTTAAGTCAAATCAAGCACAACCTATGCCTGAGCTATCTGACTTTTAATGGATTTAAGATTTTGTTCTTTCAAGCTGCATAGACTCTAAGAAGGTCTAAGGAATGAAAATTTACCATAGCTTAAAACAGATGAAAACTTGGGAGTTATAGCAATGAAGAAGCATAAAGCAGTATGTCATACTTACTGTAAGCACAGCAGCAATTTTCTTGGCCACTGCTGGACTGATTTGAAATGCATGAGCAAATCGCCACCCTTGAAGATCAAAGATAGCCTTTACTCCATTCCGCTGAGTCTCAATCTCCTTTACAATGAGTTCAGATGTGATAAGACTTACACGAAACACATCGTATGCCGTAAATAACTTGGGATCCCATTGTCCTGAAGAGTAAACAGATTGCACTGCATTACCGTGAGGATACCACATACACCTGTACTTTTGCTTTTTACTGCTTCTAATGTGCTTCTAAGGAACAAGAAGTAACCAGCAATATCAAAGGTCCTGAAATAAACAGATTTGCCTTTACAGAAGTTATTTTGTGTGCCTTCTCTGTCACTCATCTTTTGAACTCTTTTTGCAGATGGTACCACCTAATGGTAGATAGTTGTAGACGCCACCTACTGTAGTATGTTCCACCTATGGCCGTAGCCTCCAGTACAAGATTTTGACAGGAACAGCTTAATTCAGTAACAGTCATGTTAGCAGAAACTACAGATCATCAATCCAACCAATTCATGTAGTTTTTCTTCAGTGCAGTAATTCTGTCAAGATTCAGTGAATCCCACTTGTTTTTCTGAGGCCTGAGCAAAGAATTACATGGGATGAGCCTTAACCCTACATGAAAGCTTCACAGAACACAACTTTGCAGAGAGACACATTTTCTACTAGACTAGCTGATATTAAAACAATTCTTTAAAAGTTGGCAAAAATAATTTCTCTGTCCAAAACAAGCACAAAGAAAAATGGTAACACATGATCATTTAACTACATCTTTTTTTAAAAGACTTTTAGGAGTGCATGAAACAAACGAAGGATCTTCAGAGTGTTGTTAGATAGGGCTCTTTGGCTACATCTAAACAGTGAAAACCCAGTGATCTTATCTGCATCTAAACTGAACGTTGGTACATGACTAGGTGTACACCTTTTCTTCTGTTCTCTCTCTCCCCACCAGTACCAGTGTCTTAGCACATGGCTTTGAAAATTTGCATGGAAACAACAATTGTTTGGATGCTTAGACCCAAATAACCACATATTCTTGCAAGTTTTAGGGTTTTAACCTGAAGACTTTTTTGATGCAGGTAAGAATTCCACTAAAAAGAAAATAAGTTCTTCATAAAGGATTGTACAGCTTTAGCCATACCAGTATGCAAGTCAAATGATATAACCGTTACAGCTCAATAAACTCACCTTTATAGTAATGTAAAGGTAACATAAATATGTTACCTTTCTAGTTAAGACATTCTGATATTATCTAATTTTATCAACCCCTGGTATCGTACCTACAAAATACTTTTATTTTGCTGCTCAAATTGTGATAATTAAAAAAAAAACCAGCCCCAAAACCACAACAAATCAAAACAAAAAACCCCACAAAACAAAACAAAAACGTCAGTGCCAGAGTCAGGTGTGAAACAGGTCCAGGCAATTTTGTCACTCACCAATTCTGTATATTAGAACTCTGCTTCCCTGTGGGTCCCTTGATCTCAGGACTCCATGATAGCCAGCATGCAAAAGACCAAGAACAGAAGATGGTTGTAAATCTGCACTTATTTCTGGGCATTCAATTCTCCACTTCTGGTAATTCTTCAATAACTGGAAAAAGTAAATGCGGATGACAGATAGCCATCAGGCATTACATGAAGAGCACAGTTAAAAATGTGTTTTCAACATGTGGTCATAATCAGAGGTTTAATTCATTAAATTAGCTATCAGTTCATTGTGCATTTTAATCAAATCCCTCCTAGTAGTAGAAGGTTGCTACACTGGATCAAATAAGTGAGTAAGTTATGATGAATTTAGAATCCTGTCAACTTGTTAATGGACTGCAGCTGTCATTTTGTGTCAGAAAAGAAAATTGGAATATGGAGAAAAAGCTGGTAGTTTCTACGTAAAATACATCTAAAAAACAGTTTTCTTATTCAGGTTACAATTAGGATTATTCCGTTTGATACTACATCAGATTCATTCAGGACTTGTTAAACTTAGATGTGCAAAATCTTAGAGGAACATTCCCCCTTCACCACACCACCCCACCCCCCACCCCTGCAAAGTATAGGCCCATTTTGTACACGCATTCATTAATAACTTCCGTTTACTACTTGAAACAGGTTTGATCATCAGCTGATCTAAAGCACATTTTCCAAGTCCCTCCTACCCCTCTGAAATGGCAGAATATAACAATGTACCCATTAGACAATTTCCCTCCCCCAGCGTGGAAATAATGAGAACCTGTTTTGCTAAAATAGAGATCCTGTCCGTTATCGGGCACATGATCACCCTGGTTCCTAAGGCTGGAAGTATGTCTAGTATGAAACTGGTATGTCTAAGGCACAGGAAGGGCTGTGTGTTGAAAGGCGATGGCCTAACGCTAAGGAAGAGTCAATTAAAGGCGTTCCTTTCTGAGGTAACATCCATGTAGAGGAATTACAGGTGATACTGTGAAAGGTCATCTTAGACACGGATTATGAAAAATTAAGTTCGTGATGCAGTAGTTCTAATTTCCAAGTCTAATTACTGTTTCTCCCTTAATATTGATTAAGTGGTGGCGGAGAAAATGAACTTCTATGCCCTGCAACTAAAATTTATTTAAGCCATTTTGCATAGGTAAGTGGGAAGCTATGCAAGACTATCTTCTAAAAAGCGTCCTCTCAGCTCATTAACTAAATTCTGCCTCTGCTGTATCACCCATGCTAAGTTCTCTAGCACTGAGTTTGGAGAGTGGAGGGATAGCTATGGCAAGTAATTTAGATTTTGTATTAAAATCTCCTAAATAGCTACAATTTAGACTTCTAACCTGAGACCTTCAAAGGAGCTAAGAGAATCGGAATTTTTCAGTACCTCGTTTCACAACAAACTAAATGTAGGTTTAAATCTTAAAGCTAGCGTGCACAGACTAGCCTTTCAAATTGTTACTATATTTCATCAAACAGCAAAACCCAATCTGAGCCTCAGCACAGTTTCACAAATTAAATGTGTTCACCACAATGAAAGCATCAACCAAGTCTTTTATTTCTCTTAATTTGTATTAACAGAAATTAATTTTTATTCATTTCTCAATTACTCCATGTTTCACAACAGAAACATTAGAGTTAAAAGAACTGTCAGCTCCAACTAATAAAACATAACCTTAAATAAGTTACAAATTTCTTGTATCTATGCAAGTATCATTTTCTTCACCATTTTCATAGAAAGAATGGTCAGAAAGAACCTCAATGGATACTGAAGTGAACCCTCGGAACATCACAGTGTCAGCTATGCTGATGCTTACCTACAGACTCTTAGAGGGAGACCTGAGACTCACCATCCTATACCTCTTAGCAGGCTTATGTTAGATAATTAGTCTTATTTCTTACCCTTCCCTCTATTTTCCAGTTTCTTGTATTGTTTTACATAAAACAGATACTTTTTCTTCAGCTTAAGGCTTTTCTGCTCAGATGCAGGTCTTGAATTATTTTGACAGTCTCTCAAACGAATTGTCATGAGGAAACTATTTATAATGCATTACTGTCAGCAGAATTTACTTGCAAATAGATGATACACTGATCGGAAATTATCTATATCCATTATGGAAATAGCATCTATAAATACGTATTTATAGGTACAAAAATGAAAAAGTTCACCTGCCACGCTAGAATCCCATTTGATTTGGCAATAAGAAAGTTGATAAAAGCCTCATCCTAAACTATACACCAAGGAAAGAAATATTTAGCCATTAGGAGAATTTTACTAGAAGCCTTTTGACTGCATTAACTCCATTCTAGTCTAGGCTAACTTAAAAAGAAACAAACAAAAAAGGCTGGGGGGAGGGAGGAGGGAAAGTAAGTTAATTTGTGTAATAGAAATTCGCTGTGATTGCAAAGATAGGCCTGAAGAGGTACTCTGATTATCTCACTCCGTTACTGCTTGACTCTCTACAAAGGGCACTGTTTGAGCAATCCCAACCACTTTGTGCCAACCAGACAGCACTGTCAACATATTATGTTCTTTGCCTTGGTCTTTCCAATACAGACACTTAAACAGCAGCAAAATACAAGAACACCCTCAAAACAAATATGCAAACATCTGTAGCTTTGTCATTTCTCCGTTTTCTTCCAAAATCTGTTGTACCACAACTTAATGAACCTAATTAACAATTACATAAATATTTTAAACATCTCTTTGAAGAGCTGCCTGCCAAAACCAAGACTAGAATAAAAATGATACATTCATTCAATACCCTAAATAATCCTATCTTGTCAGTACAGTTAGTTTCTCGTTTTCATGAAAATTTACATTTTCCAAGTTGGAAACAACAAGGATTTAAGTTCTGGACCTTGGGAGAAAGGGAGTGATGTTCGCAGCTTGTGACACACTCAAGATCCTCACGGAAGACATAATTTACCTACTGGCAAGTCCATTAAGGAGTAAATATGTGGTTGGAATACTTCTGACACCTTCCATGACATGGGCAAATGGTACATCTTTTAGACACATAACATGGCTAAGATCCAAACATACTTCCCTTGGCCAGAAAGCCATGAAGTGCTGAAGAGTTCTCAGGTTTTGAAAACCTAATCTAATTACCTGAAATGATTTAGAGCTGAAGTAAAGGTTAGCATTAGATAATCTTCCACAGCATCTACAGCTAGTTTTGGGACATACTCTGTGAATTTTTACTTATGTAAACAATCCCTTTCTTAGCAGCTGGACATACTCAAGTCACACACAGCTACTTACATGAGTAATCCTTAAAGTTTTACTTTATTTTGAAATTTTCTAGTTTAACATTGTTGAAACACAGAAATTCATGTGAAGTATTTAAAAAATATGATTTTTTTTTTTGTAAAGACAGCAAGGAAAAACATAAATATTATATATAACAATCAGTCTGGATATAGAAAATTAAGCAACCCAATACCAGGAAAAACAGGAGCATTCATTACCTAGTATAAAAAATGGCTCATGTACTTATAACACAAGGAAAACATCTCAATGTATAATTATCTGTGTTTACAAACTGAATAACCTACTTAGCATCCGTTCAGCATCTGAAAATAGATGCAAGATAACTTGATAAACAGGGAAAGCTGGATGAAAAACTCCAATGTCTGGAGTTAAGCATTAATTAAGAGTTTTTTTCCTGAGGTCTGTTGGGGATAGTTCCAGATTTCTGAACATCAGAGATGATAAAGTTACTGATTAATCCAAGATTCATGTGCTACAAAACAAAGAAAAGTGAACTTACTACTTTACTTAGAATTAAAAGAACTAGAAAACAATGTGCTTGTTACAGAAACCAATGTATTTGTATATGTAAATTAATTTTTTTCTTGATTAATAACCATTTATTCATATTAACAAGGATGCTAGACAGAATTAGGCCTCTACTGTGTCAGCAGTTGTACCAACATACACGATGTTTAGGAAAAAAAAGTTTTCTATTGGCAATCTTTGGAGGAGAAACCAACAGCTCAAACTTTAGAACATAAACACATATATATACACACACACATAAACACACAGCTTTGTGCATATATATATTTTTTTATATATATGTGTATATAGCTATATACAGAACTTAAAAATATGGTATACACAGACAAAGAATTTAAAATATTTTTATAGGGACATAGAACTTTGCCAATTCCACATGCATTACCTCTTTGCCAGTTGGGAGAAGACTGGCACATGTGTAAGTTGAGAGATTTGGCTTAGCACAAAGGGAAGACTGGCTGACTGATTTGTGTTTCCTCAACAGTCAGGCCAGAGAGCCTAATAGGGGCTCTTCCATCCTTTTTGAGGAATCCCGCTGTATTGATGGAAGAAAAGCAGCCAAGTAACTGATTTAAACCTGGTATTTATATTTGAATGACGTGGAGGTCCTCAGAGATAACGCCTGAGACTCAGCAGTATGTTTGACACTATGGAAAACAATCCTTGTACATCATGGTTATTCTAAACAACTTATTTGCAGTAAAACACACCAGAAGTCTTGATTCCTCTGTAAGTCAAATGCAGGGCAAAGACAAAGTCTGGCTATATACCTTCGTATCAACCAGAACTCCTAAAAGTTTTGAGTGCCATAAAAATGATGCTTACAAAAGTCTAAGTGGTATGTTATGAAAACATCTCTTGCCATAGGGTTTCAATGTTGCATTTTTACTGAATTTAAAGATTTTCATTCTTTTCCCCAGAGTATAATCTATTTCAAGTACAAAAAGACAGTATCCCCAAGTCACTGAGAATTAGCCTTATACAAGAGTTGTGGGATGTAATGCAAGGACATAATAAAATGTAGCGGGCAAAAAGATTTATGGAGGAAAGGAGATGCTCATTCTCCAGATTTCACCTATCACTGCTGAATCCAAGTGACAGTGTTTTTGATCACAACAATGAAGTCAAACATACACACATAGCTGGTATGTTTAAAAAGGGGTATATAAACCCACTGCTTTAGCACAATTAATGGAGACCTGTGGCCCTGCTTCTCAGTTTACAGCACATACAGTAAGTAGGTGTAGCTGTACAAATTAATGAGCAAACAACATGCTCAGCTCAGGTACGAATTTATATCCAGACTAAAATCTTTTGCAGCATTAACATCTCATCCCTACCTGTATCTCCCACAGTGATTACAAAGGCACAGAATATGCTGTAATGATGTAACACTGTTCTTTCCGAGTGTTAATTTTTGGTAGGTAAGCATTGCCTAGAAGTCTCACAGGACAAGAAAAATTCTTATTTACCTGTTGAAGGTTTGTTGTGTTGTTTTGACAGTTCTTGTTAGTCCGTGCCAAAGGACTTTCTCTTAATTCCTAGAGACAAATGTCTGCCAGTATTTCATGTAGACTGACTTAATGCTTTCTTACCAATAACATTCATGCATTTGAAATCTTTTTGTCAAAGCTATCTGCTTAACTTCACCTCTTCTTCTGGAGCCTGTACTTAAGTGGTTCGGGTTCATGCACACGTTTCCAGCCACTTTCTAAGATAAGGCATCGGGCCAAGTTTAATCCTTCCTGTGATTCAAAATGCAGAAAAGGAATTCTCTTCTAACTTGAGAACAGTCTGTTACTGAGCTTAACTGAATAATGATTGGCTTTATAAAATACAGACAGTTCTAGCTCTTCTTTGAGATCTTCAGTTCCAGCTACCTGTTTCAGTGGTGGATTTTCTTCTAGCATGACATAGATCAATAGATCAGTACTTGAAAGCAAGTCTGGAATTGCCAGTGGAAAAACATAAAAGATTGCTGTTGGAATGAGTCATCATAAAAGATTCAGAAATGGAATGTCTTGCCACAAATCTACCTGATTATTCTTTTCTGAAGCATTTCCAAATGTTGATAAACTGAAATCAGACAAATCTGTGTCAAATATTAATCAGGGATGCATCAATAAACAGTCTGGTCAGTTGCCAGACTCTTGATTCATATTTAAGGCTAAGTATGAGCCCACACTAAGAAAGATGCTTGACAAGAGCTTGAAGACCTTTGGTTATAAGCATTGGCAGAGCCACAAATTTGATTATCCCTTAGCTGCTCTACAAGTACTATGCAGTAGTACGCAGGAGCCCAGTGGGCAAAAAGGGACTGTATCAGCCTGAACTCCAAACTGAGAGGCAACATGAAACCAGACGGGAGGGAGCAGCCACTGTCTGGACTGATGGCAGGAGGGCTCTGTCTAGGATGAAGTACAAACATAACCTCTGCATGAAGTTAGATTTGGGTTAGATTGAATATACATCTTATGACGACCAGAGATTTTTGCACAATAATTCTCTTGGGCTTTAATATACCAACTGCAGAAAAACACATTCCTTAAAAGAAAAAGGTGCTTCACTTCTTCCCACGCTGTCAGAGAAGTAACCTAGAAATCAGTGTCAGCTGGTATGTGGAAGATTAAGTACAAGTAGCTACAGCATTTGGAGACCTGAAATTCTAGATGGAAAGATTAAACACAGGTGGTTTTTGAACATCAGAATCTCTTAGTTCAAAGAAGGGTCCAAAGAAGAAATTTAGAAACTTAGCAGCCTGTGGAGACTCAGAAATTCTGAAAAGATTCTAAAAAGACTTAATTTTTCCAAAACAGGTCCCCAGCCCTAGAGGGATGATTCTCAAGAAGAGTCTCAGCAATTTGCTACTTCGTAGACTCCATCACTAAACCTAGCTTAGATTCTGCACTCTTGGAGATTAGTTCTACCTACAAGACATCTCACAATTAATCACAAGAAAGTGCAGAAACGTATGGGCCAAATTCTGAAATGCCACTATCCTGCCTACAGGGTTATCAATAACAACCAATTGCAATGCAATTAGAGTGCTTATTTAGAAGCGCATATCATCTTCATTAAGCCCCACTTTTTGGAGCCAAGGAATATAGGAAAACAAAGTGTCTTTTGTTGTAAAAGAAAAAAGAAGGCATGGTCCTACAATTGTTAGTGCACATGTCTGATATAAACAATCTCATGAACTTCAAGCAAAAGTAAGATCCATAAATATCCAAAGGAATCTGACTTGACTTGCTAGTTCTTCTGCTGAGGAGGAGATGTTTAAAGCTGTGACACAAGTCTTATGAGCCAAATGAAAAGAATGCAAAATATAATTTTTAAAGCTATTTGTGATTAAGGGCTTTATTTAATTTCTCACACTCTTGTTTAGCTACCCTGATCCTGCAATATCTCCATATGCAAACAATCTTCTCTTATGGTAACTAAACTTGGAAAATCTACAGTGCAGAGAAGTCAAAAACTACAAGGTGAGGTCTGTTGGGCAATTCTGTGTCATTAACATCAAATTCCAGTAAAACACAGTTTCCAGTTGGCACAAGTGAAGAAATGCTTTTGCCCTGGGAAGATTTGGAAATACTTTCTGTTCAGAAGGGTTAGTGGTTGTCAATCTTTATGCAAAAAAAGAAAGAATTAATAACAGTTTGTACCTTTGGATATTAAAAATATGCACACACTGTCTGTATGGCAAAGAGCCATACAGCCAGGAAAGTAACAAAACTTACCAAAGCTGGAACGGAGTGTTGTAAATTGCTAAACTCCAAAAGAAAAGAAGTTTTTACTCATAGCTTTATGTTAGAGTAATTATAAATCTGTAGTGAAACTAGTAATATTACTAGTAACTAGTACTCTGAGCCTGATAAGCATGATAAGGATGTCCTTTAAAAGATACTGTTTCAGGATCGAAGTCGTGACCTTAACACACTTACCGTAACCTCTACATTATGTGACCATACCACACTTACCATAACCTTTACATTACCTCATCGAGACGGCACAAAGCTAGCCACGATACCGCATGTATATACAGCGCCACGCTGAAGACACGCATGGCAAGCAATTAGTTACACCCTGAAACTCCCTGCTCGGCCTTGGCCAGCCGAAGCAGCGCAGCTCACCCACCCAACACCCCTGCCCTCCAGCTCCGTCCGCCCCCAGCAA